TAACTGTCAATCATCGCCGATGTTGCACACTCCAGACTCGATTGGGGACGATTGACGAGGCGCTCGAGGACGCTACTCGCCCTTTAAATAATCGACAAACTTCAATAATCGATGCCGTCCCCGCATTATACGCGTTCACCAAAGATGTTTATCGAGATCAAATTAGATTTGAACGGGCCAAAAATGCCCGCGTGAAATCGTAATGGCCTATTTTGTTGATTGTTGAACTTGAATCGAGAATTGTGAATCACGAATTATCGAAAACGTCACGAATATTTAAATCATTAAAGAAAAGAAATTCTGCAATATCCATTAACACTCATTTCTCTTTGCATCGTGAACAGAATTGTTAAAGAAATAATAATTCGTATGTATTTCAAATCGTGCGTGTCGATGTTTCTCGACAATTTTAAAATAATTTTCAAAGAAAAAGTAAAAGGGCTTATTAATAAAAATCTGAGGCCATTTCCTCAGGAGTGGAGTTTAAGTGGAAAACGAATTTGAGGTTAAGCAGCGAGCGAAATTCGCGAGGAGTAGCGTGGAAAATTGAAGAACGCCACTCCGTGTCGAAGAATTCGAGTGCCGCTACCCTAAACCTGGGTCAAGGTCGAAATAATTGGTTAAAACAGGTGTTCGTGATGAAAAGGATTCGAACTGCTCTCGATAATTGCGCGCACAGGCCTTTTTACCCTCGCAGCCAGCAAATTTTCTCGTTAAAAATCTCGTCAGTGAGATATAGTATATGCATAAAAGAACGAGAAATTCAATTTAATCGATATTTTCAATAAAGAACATCCTTGTGTGTTATATCGTTTTTATCCTAACTCCTTCGTTCACAATAACACCGAGTCAAAATCAATTTTAATTTGGCAAAAATTTTAGTGTTTTCATGTCAATAGAAACGAACAAAAGTCTAATTAATACGCGTGAATGACCCGTTTTAGAGGCAAGTTAACACCTGTTCCGAATTACTGTAGTGGCGCGAAAGGAAAATGATTCGTGACAGGAAGGGAACAAAAGGTCCCATCAGGCACGTGCCAAGGAGAGAGAGAGAGAGAAAAAAGTACTCGAAAGGTAACGATGCGTGAAGCTGGGTTCCTTTGTACCCGTGGTCAAGGACCATATTAATTCATCGATCATGAAAATGCTTCCTTTCGAAACACTTGAAAGTCTCTTTCGAAGGGTAATCTATCGACACTTGTATCATCTATGATATTTGAAATTTTTCATTCCTGTGCAGAATCGATTTAAAAAAGGAGTGACAACGACAATCGATAATTTAGAATATTGTTATTCTAATCCATTAGAAAATTAGAAAGTTCGAAATCTGATTTATCAACAGATTTGATAAATTTGTCATCGAAATTACTCGAGCGAATCGACCAACAGCTGATCGATTTTGCACGATGATCAATGAAACGATAAAACAAATAATGCATCTTTGTGCACGTGCGATTGAATGCGTGCAATTGAACGCGCCAGAAAAGGGTGCGCCATGTTGTCTGGCCGCCCCGCATTGCGCCAGTGAACTCGGCGAAATCCGGACACAACGGCCGTCCGTATCTTTCACTTAATAGTTTTCGAACCTTTCGCCAATCTATCTTTTCTATTTATGATATACGTATATCTGAATGTATAATGTGTAACAAGGCAGGTTTAAGCCACAGGGAACAACATTGTGGCCACCGATAACCGACACTTGTCGTTATTGTTATATTTGTATTTTAATGTTATAGCGTAACGATGTAAAATATACGCAAGGAAACGTTTAATTTAATATTTTAACAAAGCAGACAACGAATTGATAGATAAATGGATGGATAATTAGATTTGGTATTTTATTCATAAATATTAAATATTATATAATTATTAATATAATCACTTTCTTGTTATATTATATGATTTATTATGTTTCGCGTGTTCCTTATAATATCATATAATTTTATTAATATTGAATATTATAAGGAAACATATTTGAAAATTATAAATCTCGTTTATTTCAATAATGAAAAACACCATTGAGTGATATGCAATATGTAATAAATTAGTATTATAATGTATGTCACGTTTAACTATACTACTATACTGCTATAATGTTTTAGAACTGAAGATGACGAGTGATGAGATAGGAATAACGATAAATAGCATAAATGAAACGTCTAAACATCAGATATAATGATTTGTTTTCCAAGATATATGAGTAGAAACCACGCAAAATATCTAAGTAAATAAATATAATTATATAAACAAGAATTACGATAATCGACGAAGATCTTCCTCGAAATAACGTTTATTCGAGTTATTAGCTGCCCTTAGATTATTATTAGATTATATTAATTTTTATAATTAAAATTTTATTTGCAGAAAGAAAATATAATTGATTTTCTCGTTTTACCATAAAACCACCATTTATTGAACGTGCTCTTACTCGTTGAATTCAATTATCCGAATTTCTACTATTTGAACAAGTAATCGTATCTGATCCGAGGAAACTGTCGAATTCCAATAAAGTTAATATATAATTATATCAGTTTAAAATTTAATAATTAATAGTTATTTTCCTGAGATTCATTGATTGCCACAATCAATAAAATATCTATAATTTTATTTGTTATTTAGAATTAGAAAAAATTCCAACTTACAAACCGAAAGATAATTAATCCAAAGTTAATGTAAAAATTTCTTAAATTTTCTGCACCAATATCGCGTGATTTCCTTCGACACAATTACAAGTTTTTCATTGCGGATGCAGCCACCTACAGGACACGTCCTCGTTTCCTCCCCTTCAGCCTACTTCCGAGCGATGCAGGTTGAACGTGAACGATCGTTGTCGAATTTTAGAACAGCTTCCCTCGAAAACAGCAGTTGAAATCAATTTTGTTGGATCAGCCGATCTGTCACAGTTTCAACGGGTGCAAACAGACTGATACAGTTTAAGGCACGCCAATGGAATTCTGAATAGATTTGTCATCTATATTTTTTCTTGTCTTAAGAGCTGGATAACTGGAGATAATTTGTCCAGGCTAGGTCTCTTTACTTTGCGCGTAACGATCCTGGATTATTTTATATCTAATGATCTCAATGAAATGACACCTTAAAAATAAGATATTAGTATGAAAGTAAAAAAAAAATCACTGTATACATATTATATATTAGGAACAAATTTTCCATGATTTTAAAAAGAATAATTCATTAGATTTTGAACGAGAGAAGAAATAGTGATAAGAAAAAAATATTGATCAAATAGAATTTCCTAACATAATACAGAGATCGATAATGTAAGTTAAGAAAGAAGAAAATCCTGTGAAATGTACAAAAAGTTTTCTTAAAATAATGCTTTTGTATTTTTGAATCTTTTTTTTTTTTAAATAAGTCTTAAAACAAACTGTACTTATTCAATAAAAATTACTGATGTTCTAGTGTCTATTAATGACTATGAAAGAATGATACCGACACGAATATTTTTCCTGCTCCTCTTTGAAATTTTTATTTATAGCGTTACAGGTTGTTTTAAGAACATGCTCATTAAGAGGATTGGACTATCTGAATTATAGCAGACAAAAATTATATTTACTTTCCAACAAGACTTAAGAATTTCTCTCGTAATTAGTCCTCTAACGAGGCAGAAATACTAGTTCCTGTTATATTTAGCGGTAAATGGAGGAAGGGAAGTTGTCATATGGGGAATGTATGGGGCGCCAGGTGTTGCTGCGCGATCTGCTTGTGCAACACCTGCCTTGCGGGAGGTATATCCATGGAATTCACATAAATTAGACGTTTCTTGAAATAATCCCCGACAAACAAACTCAAATACTCCTCCAAACTTCCAAACTTTCCTTCAGAAAAAAGAAAATTAAAAAATTAACAAATCGAAATATCAATCACAATTCTCAACAGCTTTAAAGATAAGCAACATTTTTCAATAATCATTGTAGTGTATCAGTCATGCTTGTCCCGTACCTGTACTTCTTTTTGTACGTTTGTTCTATTTAAAAGAAAAAAGAAAAAAGAAAAAAAAAAAAAAAGAAAGAAAAAACATACACATCCCATAAATTTCGCCCAAACACTTCTCGAAAATATATCCCCAACATACAACAATATACACAGAACAAGATAAATTCGGTTATTTTAAGGAACCCCGTGGAACAATCCCCCATAAGACTGGTCGAGGAAAACAGTTTAAAGTAGACCGAAAACATGGACAAGGACGGGGAATCGCGTTCAATTTATCGAACGCATATATAACAAGCCCTCCGGCCTAAAAGCAACAATCGGTGAAAAGAGAGTTTCGGCCGGGCGAGGAAACAGGGAGCCAAAAATAATGTTCCCTCGAATTTATTATTCGATTCCACCGCCTTCTTCTCTTCTTCTCTTTCTCTTTTCCCGGCTGCCTGGTGGCAAAAGGCCGCCGAGGCGAGGGGAGGACGGGAGGAGAGGAGAGGGGAGCGGAGCAACAAGGCGAACGACAAGCACGACAACTGCGACGAAAGTCAAGAACGTGGAGTGCCTACGAATGTGGAGAAGGCAAATTGAAGTAGGTCATAGCTTCCAGATTCCCTTTGCAGGCCGGAATAATCTTCACCTTCCTCCTTCCTGCCCCTTGAATCGGCTACACGGCAATCCCCCGGGAGCACACGGGGCAGAAACGGGGCTTGAATTCATTATTTCCCATTTCCACGGCCCCCTTAATTGCATTCGCTTTCGTTCGACCATAATTCGTCTAGCGGGCCATTTTCCTTCTCACAGCCTCTCTCTGTCTTATTTATCATCCTTTCCTCCCTTATTTTCCTACTCGAGTAGGACGAGCCTAGTAAATTTTAGGCTAAAATTACTGTTCTGAACTTCCCTAGTAATTTCTAGATTGAGGATAGAAAGAAAAATATTAGAAAAAATGTTTATGTTTTCTATCGTTATGATTATTAGAAAAGATACTGTCATGCTTATATAAGTAAAAATACAGATAATTTATAGTTTTCTTTAATAATGTATACATATTATCTTTACCTTAAATTAAATGTCCTCAATTTGTAAACATATACGCTATGATAATATTTTTGCAAAATGTTATTATAGCCTCCATTCTGGAAAATTACGTTTCAATCATAATATAAATATAATTTAGAATCAAAACTTTGCACAATATAGATAAAACTCCTAGACAGACCATAAGAAATATTAAGAATCTACGAAACGTATTCGAAATTACGATAAAATGATCAAAGATGAGCATCATCCAATCGTCCATACCACGCCACGAACATAATATTTGAAATGTTATAAACATTGGCAGCCGTTATTATTCAACCAGACAAACTTCTTGTTCAACAGAAGTAATTCGAGCAACAATCGCGATAATCTGGCATCCCTTCGAGAAGATTTTCTCAGTAGTCGACAGATCCAGTTCGTAATACGCGATAATCATCGTGCCCTCCTCGCTGTGACAATCTGCCTCGACCTTGACAGTAAGAAGAACTCGATGGAAAATTGTGGTTGACGAGGGTGCTCCCATTTGCTCGAGGATACTCTCGATTCATCGTTAGATTTTGTTTTTCTGTAGGTTCGCTTGAAAATCCTTCGTGTCTATTACCCCCGATAAGGATTGTCCTTGATGAGTCGAGGTCGTTGGTGAAACGGGATCGTCGATCCCCCAGGGTGATCTGTATGTGTTTGACATCAATCACCCGCCATTTCTCCGAAAGGGCTTCTTAAAAGAAATCACAACAACTTCTGACGAACTCTTTAGTTGTTCGTAATAAGGAAAAACAGTATGAATTTCAAGGTTATCGATGTGACCAAAAAGTTGGAGAGGTTTCTTTTATTATGGCGAGATAGAGATAACTTATGATACCAACTTTCGTCCTTTGAAGATAGATGAAATATAGACGAGATATCTGATATATTGCAAATAAGTTTGAATATAAGTGGAAAATTTTGGATGTTTTGTGATTATCTAGAAGAAGAATCAATTTATGTAAACAGTTTTCTAACGTAATCTAAATAAATTCAACAATCGTTTAATTTTGATCTAATGTACACAACGTTTGAATAGTGGAAGATCCATATAATAAAATGTCTCAATTTGATGAAATAAAATATCAAATAATAAACATTTTTTAATATATTACCTTTTTGAATATTATTTGGAGATTTTCATTGTTCTCCTGTGTAAGGAATTTCCAACATGCATATTTCACGGTAGTAAAATCAATTTTTAAGAGTGAGAAGGATTTTATTTCCGTTTCGACCGCTCTTTTCACACGGTTGTAAAGAGACAACGTTCCAGAAATTCGTCTCACGAAAACACTATGAAAGAGGCAATCCGTCCTTGATGCGATATGGCGGAGACGTTCACACGTTCAAAGACAGGAGAAAAACAGTGGCCTGGCGTTTCGTCTCGACGGGCATTGTTATCTGTGCGTTTAAATGAAAATTGATACAATAAAATACATTAGAAAAATATTCGATGAAAAGTTTAAATTAAATTTTGTCATCTATTGAAGCAACGATTTCAAAAAGTTTGAGTTAAAAGTTTGCTATTTGAAATAAATAATACATAATGACAATGGAATAATATAAAATACAAATCCTTCTGTTAAAACAATGTCGATCTCCTTCTATTAAACTTGATCAAATAAAAAAAACAAATATAATACAAAAAAATCAAAGTTCTGTTACAAATATATTATTGCATTTTCATTTTTCAATTGAATTGATTGAAAGAGGAAAAATTATACAGATGATTTATTTTCATTCATTAAACTCGTTAATATTAATTTTGTAACAACTTATATAATTCAAACGGAAGAAACACTTTACTCGTGGAATAATTGAATATTAAACGACCTTTCTGAAATTATAATTATTATAAATAATACATCTTTCACTATTGATAATGTTCTCTGTTGTCGAAGAACGATCGTCATAAAAGAAGAAAATGAGAAAAAAAAAAAGAATAAAGAAGAGAAAGATCATAAAGCGAGAAGAGGAAGAAAGAGAGAAAAAAGTCACGATGGATCTGTTTATTGCCAGCCGAAATAAAAATCACGGTGCTCGGTGGGTGGCGCGTGGTTTCGCGACGAGGAGCAACGCGGTAATGTCAACGGCTCTTGTATCAGCTAGAGAGCCACTCGTCCTCTTCCACTGTCTTCTTCCTTTCAGCCTCCTCTTCGAGCTTCGCCTCTCTACTTGCGAAAGATGCAATCAATTATGACGACTTTACAATTCCCTTCTTGTCGTCCGCGTCGTCTGCCACTTCATTCGCTTCTCCGTCATCTCTTCTGACTCTTTTTTTTTTACTACGAACGTCTGGCAAATTTAAATTTCGCGCGTACGGAGTAACGACGGGTTATTCAATAATCATTATCGAAACGATTAAAACATTAAGTGACTTTATATCATCATCGATTGTGAACTGAAATTTATATAATACTGTGATATTATATCGTAGTTTGAATTATTATATTTAATTTGAAATTTAAATTTTTTAACATTTCTTTTGTTTTTTCTGAGATTTAAATTTAAATTTGATTAATTAATGCAATTTTCATAGTAACCTATAATCTGAGACTTTATCAAATATATAGATCATCCTGAACTATCATCTTTCTTTCTATTCTAACCTAACTTATTTTAATTTGATCTTAAAATATTTGTATATTTGTTTTATTTAATTAAAGTGATTGTTTAATTGAATATAATTAAAAAATCAAATTAAAAAATTAAAAAAAATTATAAAAGCATTATTAGCATGGTTAGAAACTTCATATCGTAAAAGCAATTTGCATATTCACAGAGTGCCATAAAAAATCCTAGATGATCCATGTCGAGAAGAGTTAGTTAGACGCTGTATTTTTAAAACAGTAGCTGTCTACTAGTAGCAAATAATTTTTACGCGTTGTGACACCGGCGCCGTTTTAGCAAGCGTAGGCGAGGTTAGATTTACTCGCGCTGAACCATTCGCGTCTGGTCGGCGTCTGGAGTCGCGTCTTGCTCGTAAAGTCATCAGTCGCTTACAGAATTGGTCGGTTGAAACTATTACGTGCTTTTTACGATGCTCGACTTTCGTGTTGTCTCATTTTCGAAAGCTTCATTGTAACGTGGATGTACGATACCGTCACCGGTGACACAGTTCTTTTCCCTTGGCAAAACAAAATTCTCATTTACGCGATAAATGCGACGGATTAACGAGGAACTGACAGAATATTTTGTGTAAATTGTGAGAATCTCTCTTCTTGAAAGTGAAATTTCTTTTTTTACTTGTTTATCCTAATATTTCCTTCAACACACACAATCCAACGATTGATCAATATCATTTATTATATAACGTAAAATGGAACTATGTGATCTACATACATCTGTAATATATTCTGGCACGATTTTTCCTACTTGACATACAAAATTCTCATTGCATGACAAAAGTGATGGAATAATGTAGAATCAGAATATTTTATATTAATGTAAGTATTATAATCTTCTCAAATGAAAATTGCTTTTACTATTGACATCTCTCTACTTAACCTTTATTTTAATACGAAAGATTTGAAAATCATTCGATAATTTTTCATATATATGAAAAAAGTTCTTATTTTGATACGTAATATCTACAGAAAGATGCAAAAAAACTAGTAATTTTTGATATTCCAAAACGAAATTTATTTAAAATAGCAAATTAACGAAAAATTGATACGATATTTCTTGTATCAGTAATTTTCTAAAATAAAAAAGTTTATTATTTTATACTAACCTCTTTTTTCGTATAATTCGATGTGAAACAGGAAACAAATAACCTCGAACTATGAAATATTCTTTTTCTATCGTTTCTTAGCTATGAATAGATGCACAAGATAACTTTCGTTACAACACAAAACGCCATTTTGTTCGAATGTCTTTATGCGACTCGTTTCAGGTATATTTGAAAAATCGATTGTCCTATTCATTATCGATCTTTTACGATAAAAATCGAGAATACGTTAGAGAAACGATAGCAAGTTGAAAGAAGACATCGTACGTGCTGCCACGATGGGACTATCGCGTGTACGGGTGTGTTCGTTCGTGTAACGTAGTGGTCTATCAATTTCGCGGACCTGGACGTTTACGAGGAGATCGTAAAGGCGACGTAATAGGCGTACATGGTCGTATAGACTGTCGCCGGGTGGTCAGGAAATTCGATCGAGCGCGAAGGGTTTTACATAAGTCTCGAGATCCTTCGATCGTCCTCCATGTCGCAATGTTCGTTGCAAACGTTACGCAGTGAACATAACCTCGAAATACATCGTTCGATTTCCTGCTTTTCTTCTAATGGCAATTGAAAATTCGTTACGAGAGTATGGAACATGAAGAAAGTAAGTTGTTCGTTTTACTTTACGTTCTCGTCTGCAGATTCGAGAATATTGCAGCAAAGAAATAAAGATTTAATTATTTCTAATCTACGAATTAAAATTTAGAGTTTTAGCATTTTTCTAATATGACTTTAAAAATTGTGATTCAATTCATAATTAACATTATGTGATAAAGAAAAATATCTTAAAATTTTTATAAAAGAATTATTAATGAAAGAAACAATTAATTAAAACATCATATAATTATTTAACAAAATTAATTCAATGATATTGATTTGTAATTGAAATTTTTTATCTGTTCTCTTTAATTATTTTTACATTTTATTTTCTTTATTCAAATCAAATGCCCCCAATCAATAATATTTTAAACATATCAGTTAGATTTTATTTTCGTATCGCTGCAATCTACATTACTTTCTTTTATTTTTTTCTCAAATTGTATTAGAATATGATAAGCAAACAAAAAAGAGATAGAAATGTAATTTTTCATATTTTTTCAGCCTCATATTTTATATTTATTACTCATTTTTATACAAAATTTATACAAAAACGAAGATATCAAAATTCACATTATAATTTCTTTCATTAATTAGAAAATGTAAATTCTTGACAAAAGTAAGAAATAAGAATAAAAATAAATTGAAAAGTTTCTTTTGATTAATAGTAGATTTCTTTTCTATAAATTTATATTTAAATTTAATACACGATAATATTTAATGACTGAAATTCAATAAACTATAATATAAAAATGACACTCGTCTTATCTGTCACATAATCGAGATTTAAATCTAATCTTAATTTTCTTTCGAATATTTTACCTTTTATCTTTAAAATTTTAATAATATATTTACACAATGTCTAATTTATTTGTGAATAATTCTTACTTTCTCACTTTGATATCTTTTCGTGTACACGATATCAATAGACTGGAAAATAACAAATTCTTAAAAATAAAATATTTCGAAGAATGTCATAGAGTGGCCAGGTCTATATATTTATATTTTATTAGCCTAGCTGGAAACCACGTAGGCTGAAGCAATGTTAGAATTTTTTCAATGTCCGATACTAAACAACCGTGCCAGAAGTCGAATGTTACGGTGCAACATTTTTTGCGTAAAAACATTATGTGTTGTTGTTTACGAAGATTTCCGGTATAATAATATTATCATATGTGAACTTATATGTGAACAAGCATCGAAATAAAGTTAAATACATAAAAATAAATATACTTTGTTGAGATCATAAAATTTGCATCATAAAATTTGTATCAGAATCTCATTCTTTTCGTTTCCTTAAAAAAGCGAATCCTAACCTAACTTAAAATGCAAAAAGTTGAATTGTTATTATGACTTAGAACTAATCCCTCAAGTTTTATTATTATTAATATTTATTTGAAATTAAAAAATTCAAAAGAAAGAAAATTCGATGCGACTTTTGAATCATCCTTCGATTTTGAGAGGTTATTTTTAAATATAGTTGTTAACTAGAATAACTTGTTCCTTTTCTTTAAACACTTTTATCTCTTTCTTTCGAGTTTAGAAATATAATCAAATATCGAAAATAAGTATTCATCAATTGCGTATAAATACAAATTGCAAATTTATCACAAATCATTTTCAAGACTTTATATGTTAATTTATCTTTTTATGGAATGAATATAATTACCAAAGATAAAAAAAAATACATTAAATCTTCCTCAAAACCAGTTTATTTTAAACAATCTAATGTTTATTTTAAACAACCTAATGTTTGATGTAATTAGATTTCAGCAACAGTTTCTAAAACGATCTATGAAGATTATCAAAAGATATCATAAGATCAAAGCATGATTTCGCGGAAACTTGAGATTATCGAAACACAGAATGGCAGAGGTACACCGTTTTAAAGACATCTGGCCACCTGCGGAGCTTCATCGCGAGCGTGGGCTGCTGAGTGCAAGAAGAAGGGGTGTCAAGGGTGAAGCACTCGAGTATGAGTATATACGTCAACGCATATGGTAACACTGATAGATATTGTATTAGATTTTTTCCACTTCAAAATTCTGATACTAATGATTATTAGTCTGCCGTAGATTTGAAATATTTGAAGAAAGTCATGAATAAATTGTTCACAGATCGTCAAGGATTTAATTTATATCCATATAAGATGAGTATTATTGATAATTATATTATTAATAATCATTTCTATTATAGTTTTAATCAATATTATTAATAATCAATTTGAATTATTTACAATATTTTAGGTTTAAAGGATTCTCAAGATAACATGTAATTTGTAATAGAAAACGAAATCTGTTATGATAAATCGAATCTACATGGTCTACATTCTATAATAATATTCGAACGGTTGAATAATCGGTGGGATAGAATCATTATAAGCCGAGAAATAGACATAAATCAAAGGAGATCTATGATTCCTTGCGACATCTTTGAAATTATCAATGATACTGTTACACATTACATTATAATTAATTAAAATTTCTTTTTTCTGAAATTTCTCTTATTTTTTTATAAAACGTAACATATATTCTATGTTATATCTAACAATTTAATATCAAAATAAATATACATAGAAATATTTTCTATCTACAAAATATTTACATTTTCGTCATTTAGTTTTTTTAAGCATTCAATAAAACGTTAAATGCTTTATGAAGCAAATTTCTTGAAGAATATTTCTAATAAAAAATCTTAGAATAATTATTACATTTATTTTGAAAAAATGTATAATTTAATGCTTATGATTTACGATTGGTAATGTGTAGTGTGATGAAATAAATGATAGTTTTATGATATTTATGTCTTGTCCATATTTTGAATAAGATACGGATATATATATATATATAAAATTCATTGATGGGAATTACTAGATCACCAGATTATTAAACTTGGCAACGACCTCATAGGAGGTTTATATCTTTGAACGAAAGATTCACATTCTCATATATGCTATCACATATAGCAATATCTATCTAAGGAGAAATGGCAATGACGATAAATCGAAGAGGCATGTTTCTTTGGTCTGTTTCCAGCGAACTGACTCCTTGTCAAAATTCGCTAATTATAGTTCAACTAGCAACAAGGCGAACGCATTACCATCGACGTTGACGGCCGCGACGACTCGCTTGGACTTGAACCAATCCTGACCTTCCCTGCTGCGTCGTGACGACCTAGAAAATTGCGTGCGTCATATTTGTCGCAGCGTGTCAAACGAGCCGTATATGTTATATTATTCCACTGAATATCGTGACCGGAAATATTAAATGACGTGATAACCGAAACATATCATGCAAAATTTTGATTTGAGATTCAAAGAAAATCTAATGTCTATTTGAGAAATCTATAATATATAAATCGGATTCGAGAAATTTTTGGAACTAGAATTAAAAAAATCAGAATTTAATTCAGAACTCGAGACTTAAGAGACTCATTTATTAATTTAAAACTTAGAATTTGAAATATTTTGAATAAGGAAATATACAAGAAAATATATAATTTCATATTTAGGATTCAAGAAATGTATTTATTATTTTTTTATAATTTTGGAACTAAGAGAGATTTATTGTTTAATATTGTAAAAATTTGTAATTAAATCTTAAGAAATGTTATATTATATTTTAATAGGAATATGAATTACTCATTAGAATAGAATTTCTATGAAGATTCTTTGGAAAATAATTAATAATTATAATTGAAATTTATATAATATAAATTTATGATTTCCTGTATTATTTATAGCCTTATATTTATAAATTTTTACATTTTTAAATTTACATACTTTTTTTACATTCAATTGACAGATTTATAATTAATTTTATTAACGATAACTCTTCTAATTATATAATTAGAATTGTATATGAATTCACACATAATAAAAATGATCATTAATTACAAATGATGTTTCCTTATTTAATAAAATATATAAATATGGATAAAAAACGATTCTCCAAAAACGTCTAAATAGATAAGAATAATAATAAAATTTCTTGTTAATCAAAATTCAATTTTTATTGAATTTTAAAATGCAGAACTTTATGAGAAGTCCAATGAAATTAGCATCAATAACGACATTCTAGAATATAATATAAAAGCAATTACAAAGTAACTGTGACGTATTGAAAATTGTTCGCGCATAACATATCTTACACGATACTTCGAAAAGAGATATAGGACATTTATTGTTCCGTACATGTAAATTCATCATCTCTTTCCGTAACATGTGGGTACGCTAATAGCTGGTGCGTAAATTTTACCGTGTATGTAAAAAGTTATCACGGTAACGTGCCGTTTCCGTTTCTCATCATTTTATGCGACCACAATTCCGATACTTGCACACCTTTCAAAATCGAACTCTTACGCGTGACATGCATAATGCATCGATCGCATTGGACGTGTAAATGCGATAAAAATCCATCACATATGAAAATGTCAAGCTGAAACGTTTGCACGCTTATAAGTATAATTTGACGATTTATTTTTCACATTCTTGATCAATGTGTAGTCTCAATATGTTACGCGATCCTTTGGATTGAACGTTTG